AATATGGTGGTAGAAGTGTCCGAAGTAAAAGAAGTAAAAATGTGGTAGAAGTAAAAATTTAATAAAGTGTAGTTATAGCGCCTCGAAAGTCGAGGAAGAAAAAAGTCTTTTTTTTATGGCCCCCCCTGTATATGTCGATTTCGCTCACCCCACCCAAGAAGAGCCTCGTCGTCTCGCTCTGTCCCAACCGATACCTAACCCTTTTCGCGGAACAGAGAGTACGCAGCGAAATAGGGCAGAACCCTCGCAATACCGTTGAGGAGATATCACACGCTACACAGTCTTGATAACTGCGGATGACAGGGCGTATCGAAGCAGCGTCACGTTTGGGCTCCGCCAGTCCACTCTCCGACTAGTTGTTGAAGCAGGTGAGCGACAAGTTAGTGGAAAAATGACTGACCGAGCTATACGATAGTCTTGTCGCTTGCTCGCTTTTACAACTGATGGAAAACATGGCACCGCGCCAAACTCATCCCGCCTGAACACGCCCCTTCATCTGCGGCAAACAAGACTGCATCTCATTTCAAGCGACCACTTCAACATACCATCTTTCCTGGTAAGGATCAAAGGCTAATCAATCCACTCCCGTTTCGTCTGCGAATCTCCGGAGTCCCGCGCTCCCAAGATCTCGCATATTCTCCACATTCAGGCCAGAACCGTGCTGTCAAAAAACGAACAAGCAAACTAGTAAAATAACTATTTAGGTGATCCTTCGATATATACCACTAAATAACAGAGGTGTTTCAGATGGACATTTATCACTCATCAAGTGTAACAATACAATTTGATGTTTATCAGGACAGATGTGAAATCAAAAAGGAAAACTTTTACATGCACAACGAGTTTCTAGCTAAAGCGTCCTCGCTTAAACAGGTTACAGTATCTGCTTTAATAATCGATACTTGGCCTTAATGTAGAACTTTACAGTAACCATCAAAACATACTGAACCTCAGGAAAAACATCCTGTTCGGCGTAAAAAAAAGAAACAGCATTTCAAATGCCCAACGAATTACACTGCTTCCTGCGCTGATATTCACCTGGCTGCACCAAATCAGATTAAATACGCTTAGACAAATCAGTATACACACAATTACTAAATAACAGCTTAATGCTAGCTCTGATAAACGTGAGGACGAATTAAATACATTCAAATGTGGGAATCGGGTGCGTTTCAATACGTCTGAGGAGGGGCATCGCGCAGGAACTAAGCTTACTAGCTAGTTGACTCGATAAAGCCATTCGGCGTAAAACCAATTGTTGTGAGTCCAAGTCCACGTCCTGTACCATTCATTTGACGGCCTTGCCTCAAAAGTCGATAAAATGCTTCCTCCTTTCCATGTCTTGAGGATCATTGAGTGCGCGCCACTTTACAATTAAAATTGTTTAGTAATGAACATGGTCTCACACCGATCCTCCAAACTTAAAAAGGAAAACAGCAAGGTAACTTGAATTGATTGAAGAGTTTTCTAAGATAAAATCATCAAATAAACCGGCATAGGACGTGGACTGTACACAAGTGATTTTATGCCGAGTGGCTATATCGAGTCAACTAACAAAGAATGCTGGCTCGCGGGCGACGCCTTACCTCAACTGCCTTGAATTACACCCAAGGGAATTCTGTACTCAAAAAACCTCGCAATGTCAATATGATGATGCACTATAAAATCTAATAGTTATGAGAAGAAGAGGAGGGTATGAGGTACGAGGTTGATGAGGTGAGATACTGAGTGACCGAGGGAGAGTGAAGATCAGTGAAAGTACTAGAACCGATTAATTCGATAAATATCGCGGAAATGTTTACATGCTAATGTTCAAATTGACAAGTAGAAACAAAACATAATAATAATGCATGCTCATGCATAAAAATAGCAATAAATACAAATGTTCGAGCTGAAGAGCTATGCAACTTACATTATATGGTTAGAAATTACAACGATGACAAGAAATCACAATTTAAACAGCGTTATCAAAACGACTAACGAGATTTAGTTAACGAATTAAGATCCAATTCGAACAAAAGTGTTTCCAATTCTTCAAGTTTGCGCTCGTTATGTTCCTCAAAAAATCATTATGAGGTATGATTTTGCGGTATGATTATGAGGTATAATAAGAAAAAGACATAAGATGGCGCTATGTGCCTCGGGATGGTTCTCTTCCTGAACTATCTCACGCTGTTTCGGTGAGAGTGCGTTCATAGTTCGCGATCCAATCGCTTGGATCGCAAAGTATGAGTGCGACCAGGACCCGGCGCGCTTCGCCACAATCCGTTCAAACTGGCCGCGTTTATGCACTTTGTAAGAGCGCGTTCATACATGGCGATCGAGTCGTTCGATCGTTTGAATCGCGCGGCTGGATCGCCCGAGCGATTAGATCGCGACGCGACTACGACGAGGTGCGCTCCGCCGTTACCGCTTCGAAATGGAAAACGTTCATGCACTGCTGAACGCATCCCAGTCTGTTTCGGAGTCTACCGAATGGCGGTGAGGCGCCTGGGTCGTGGTAGCAGATCCAATCGCTCGAGCGATCCAAGCGATCCGATCGCGAAGTATGAACGCACTCTGAGACGGGGTAGACGAACCCATATAACGTGGCTCAGGAGTTCCCTTCCCATTCATTCAGCGCCGATGAAAGCAATCACAGCCTTACCTCTAAATATGAGCGAGCATGCCTGAAGAATGTATTCAAGTCCGCAGCGAATGTGCTCAACGAGGTATACTGAAAAAAAGAAACTGGATACATATGCCATATCAATTACTAGCATCTTTCGATTACTACCTCTGGTATGGACTTCCTCAAGACCATCGAGGGACGGAGCAGGCGCTCTTCTGCTTGATCGACCAGCCGGAATATTTTGTAACGTGCGATAAAGACGATTGTACGCTTTTACGCGACCCAGTAAATCGACACACTCCTGAAAAAAAATAATTGGCTCAACCAACCCAAAACTCCCTTCCTCTCGGAACGCTCGTGTTTGCGCGCTAGCCTTTGAGGACCACGGGAAACGCTCCAAATTTAGCGCATAATCCCATATCTGCCTTGTCAATAAGAAGCAGCGAGCGTACTCGCACGGAGCAACATAGGTAGGTACTCACATCCTTCGCGGGATAAGACATTTGATTCTTACCTCAGCAACTGGATTGACCTTCGCACGTTTCGATCGTGACCTCTTATCCTCCACATCATCCTCAAAATACTCTTCCATGGCACGCTTGCGAGTACTTTTACGACGAGGCTGCTACAAAATATACGACTTTTGAGTTGTGACAGACACTTTAATCACCACTTCATACCTTATTTGCGAAGAAGTCATCGACGTCACTTTCAGACTCATCGCTTTCATCTTCGTTGGATTCCTCACCGCTTGAGTTTTCATCATCAGCTTCTTTATATGTTGGTCTAGTTGTGCGCTGCGAAACAGGTTCTTCCTTCTTCTTTTTCATCTCAGCCCTTTCACATATTGGGCACAGCCAGCTAGAAGGGAATTCGAAACGTTCTCATAACTGCTGCTGCAAAAGAACTACAAAGAAAAACTTCAATCGACTTACTGGGTGGGCTTTTCCGGAAGTCGAGGTCGCGTGCAGTAAAAGTGAACAACAATCGCACAATTAGCGCACGCAATTTTCGCTTCAGGGCTCCGTCTGCTACCGCAAGAGTTACAACGCTGAAAAACGAGCAGACTAAAAACAAATGCCTCTGGAAATAGAAAAATTAAAAACTACACGATTACTTGAACGCCCAACCTTTCAATGTGCGAGATAAGCAGATGCGCAGCTGTAGAAATGTAGCAGTTCACCATTGCAAAGTAAACGACAATGTGGGGGGACGTAGTTGATCTAGTGGGAGGAGGGTGGCCATTTTTTCCTCATTCCCTCGCGCTATTCACAATGTTAGGAAACTCCACAATGGAGGAAGGTCGTACTTCCTCATAATTTTGAAAGTTTTCCCCCCTCCTTCTGCTATAGTTCGCGGCAGATTTTTCTGAGCAAAAGTGGAACTTGTTTTTTGGAAAACTGGGAAAAGTGGGTAGAAGTCAGGAAAATTAAAGAAGATAGTATGCAGCATAGGAAAGGAGGATCGCACCAGAAGAGGACGCTTGAGTGGGTCGGATCTGGCTGAAAATTTTTCTAACGACGGAAGGTGCCCCTGATTACTGCGGACCTGCCCAGCTGTCGCATGGAAAGGATACACTTTTTTTTGATTCCAGACTGCGTCTTCAACTAAAGCACCATGCTTCGAACTTTTGCTTTGGATTTGTCCACAGTGTATAAAAGTAGTCTCACGAGAGTGTGGTATCATCCCTCTAAGGGCTTATTTCCATTTATATCAGGATACGAATGAGAAAAAACTGGAATTTTTGAACAAAAAATAAATCTCCAAACCTTTTCAATGATACTTTGCTTCCAATCAATACGTGAGTCAAGATAACTTCGAAGAAGCTGTACACCGGAAACATTGTGACACTCAGCCAATCGCTGTTTCCATCGGTCCAAAATCATACAAGAGTGCTGACCTCAAACAAAACAGCTC